TTCTCTCTGGCACTAGGGGGTCATCTGGGTTTGGATCACATAGCAGTGAACAAATGGATAAAAGAACTTTAGAAATAGTTAATGCAGGAGACCACTGTGATCTTAGAATATCGAGACAAATGCTGCCATTACTGTTAATATTTGGATGATAAATTCTTGTTGTAAATGCAACCTTAGGTGGTTTGAAGGGGTAGTCTGTAGGAAAATGAATTGTCAAAAAGAATACACCACCTTGATATGGGCTGTCATTAGGTCCCATAATTGTGGCTTGCCAATGAAACATATCATCCCCAACTGGACCTGCAGAACACTGTGCTGGAGGGTCACGGGCCAAATCACTAAGTTCCGTATTAATCCGTTTCAGCGCCATAGTCTGTGCTTTGCGTCTGGCTCCTCACTATCTCCGTGTGTGCTCGGAGGTCCGGCCGAAACTCTTGATGACCCCGCCGGCAGGCAAGGCTGGTCTCTTCGTCTCACACCGGCTCTGCCAGGCACAGGCACTTGGTCTGGAGGCGGTTCTCGCAATAACCTCGTGGCTGCTTTCCCGGAGCTCGATTGAGTGATTTTTATCTCTCAATTTGTTTATGTGATGTATCACGTTTATCGATTTGTGGATATTGTACCATCCTTACATCCCTGGGATAAATGCTATTTGGTCATGGTGTATGATCTTTCCAATGTACTGCTGGATCTGATTTGTTAGAATTTTGTTGAGGATTTTGGCATCTATGTTCATGAGGGATATTGGCCTGTAATTCTCTTCCATTGTGTTGTCTTTATCTGGTTTTGGTATTAGGGTGATGCTGACTTCAAAGAATGAGCTTGGAAGTGTTCCTTCCTCTTGAATTTTTTGGAATAGTCTGAGGAGGGTAAGCTTTAGTTCTTCCTTGACTATTTGGTAAAACTCCCCTTCTCCCAAGAATCTTAATCACCACTTCAATCCCACTCACTAGAAGTAACCAAATGAAGTTTGGTGAATCTCTCTGTATACAACAGAGATAGAGAAAAGAGAGTGAAGAGAGAGATCATACTATAACTATTTATACTTTAAAAATACAGTGGACACCCTACTATAGTTCTGCATAATTCATTCTTGTTAATAACTGCACTAACTTAATTTTCCAGATGCTATCAGCAACCAGTACATTGACTGAGAGAAAATAATAGTACTAATAGTAATGGCTAACATTTATTGAGCATTGTTCCAAATGCTTCATCTACTTACTACACATTAAAATTGTGTGACTTTATCGGTAGGTACTATAACTTATGGCCCTTCTTACAGATAAAGAAACTGAAACATATTACTTGCCCGAGGTTATAAAGACTTGCCCAAAGTTAGACAGTAAGTTGCAAGGACAGAATTTGAAGCCAGCAATCTGTCTTCTAAGCCTGTGTTCTGATTTGCTACTGCCTCTGTGATGTTAAAAATAGTAAAGATAAATTATTTCTTAACAATGAATGACTGTTGGTATATACCAGATGTAACCATAATAGAACACAATGTTTTGGTGTTTTTAACTATACCAGAACCTTGTATTCTTAGTAGTGCTTTCAAAGAAACCGTATCAGGAGATTTTACGTTCAGTTTAGAGTCTACCATTAAGCAAAAGTATTTGAATTAGTAAAAAACACACACATGAATTTCCTTCATATATATTTCATAAGCTGAACAGGAAAAGCAATCTAAGTTCTGTACTGTTACCTTATTTTGTGGCCAAAAGCAGTTTTTTTCAAGTTTTACTATCCATTTTGTTGACCAGACTTGTCACCAATTGATTTATGGTCATTCAAAAAACACTATACCAGTCACACACACGAAAAGAACCTGAATCACATTTTTAAAATATAGACTCAGATTCTAAACTCAGATGCAAGAGTTTTTTTTAAATAATTGCAAAATCTTTGGAATAAATGTGTAGTCTCTCAAGGTAACTATTCTGAAAAAGGATAAACCTTAATTGTCTGTTTAAAGTCAGTCTGCTAAAAGTCAGTTACCATATTTAACAGGTTTATTTCAGTTACTAATCCAGCAGCCGGTTCATGCCAGCCATCCCAAAACAATAACTGATGTCCATATTGACTCTTCTGTTGCCAAGCCAGTGAGTTGACAGCTAGCATCCTAAGCACTGTATAACGTATCAAAATCGTGTTGCTGAGCCAACTGTAACATAAATTGTTTTTACAACATGAGCCAATTTTTCTAATTTACTCTTTAACATAAAGTGATTCTGCTCTAGCTGACAGCAGGGACAAGAATGGCAGCTTGAGGGGATGCTTTACCTTTGACTAAATCTTATTAGTTTAAACAAGGGATAACACATACACATTTAAGTATATTCAACATCGCCAAAGCACCAGCGTCCCCCACCATTTTAAAATAATGCCAAATAATATTTAAAGGTGGAATGTTTCAGAAGATGGTTCAATCGAAGATCAAGTTCCACCTACCTCTGTTACTGAGTCACTTTCTAGACCATGTTTTTGTTAAGTAAACCTTTCTTCTTGAACAAATAATCATCTGTCAGAGCTCCACGTAGTTCCACAGAATAGTAAAAATAACTGGAAGCTCCTTTGTATATATGATTGCTAAGTAAATGCCAAAGTCTTACAAGACAGCCTTTAAAGTCTACTGAGTGAACATTATAAAATCAAATTTTGTGCTTCCTTCGGCAGCATATATACTAAAAATCAGAATGACACAGAGATTAGCATGGCTCCTGAGCAAGGATGATATGCAGATTCATGAAGCATTCTACTTTTTAAAAAAATCAAATTTCCTGGCAACCTGTTAAGCATAATTATCTAACCAAGTGTTATCCCTTAAAACAAAAAATTGGAATTATTCAATCGAATAGCTAGAGAAGCAGCTGGGAGTTATGTAGTAGACTTTCTTATCCTGCATATAATATAGAGGTAATATGCAATTTAACCCTCACACCCTCACAAGATGGCTGCCTATGACTAGGCTGGCAGGGGAGGCAGAGGGACAGTTGGGGGTGACCAGGCCAGCGGGGGTTGCAGTTGGGGGAGACCAGGCTGGCAGGGGATCAGTTGGGGGCGATTAGGCTGGCAGGGGGCAGTTTGGGGCAACCAGGCCAGCAGGGGGGGCAATAAGGGGTGCCCAGGCTGGTGGAAGGGGGGGCAATTAGGAGCGACCAGGCCATCAGGGTGGGGGCAGTTAGGGGCGACCAGGCAGGCAGGCAGGTGAGTGATTAGGAGCCAGCAGTCCAGGATTGTGAGAGGGATGTCTGACTGCCGGTCAGACATCCCCCAAGGGGTCCCAGATTGAGAGGGTGCAGGCTGGGCTGAAGGCCTCCTCCCCACTGCCCGTGCAAATTTCATGCACTGGGCCTCTAGTAGTAAAATAACTCTAAAAACACTGCCTTTTTCATGGCCTATATTTAACCTAACAGCTCATTTTATCTGTCCCCCTACCCTTGCTACATGAAATGTCAATAATTGATTAATCAAGTAATGCTTTTGCTCTGGCAATGTGAAAAACCTCTCATCAGATTCTTGTACAACCATTTCACCATCAAAATAATGATGCTTGGATTATAGCCAGAGCAGAGAAAAGAATCAAGTATATAATGACCTCATGTGGCAAAGGGCTAGAACTACTAATTTAACTATGAAAAAATCATGGGCTTAAATAACTTTTGTTATAGAACTTTTATTTTCAAATTGTTTTAAATGGGCATTAAATACTGCCTAGAAGGAAGAAGAGAAAAATGACCTCAGATGTAAAGAAAAAGCAGAGGTAAAAATAGTCATCTGTTCACTAAAATAAAAGGGGCCCCCATGCTAAGAGTCAAAATATTTGGGTTCTTGTTTCAGTTTTATTAATTTTGGGGGAACTTGAAAAAATCCCTTAGCCTCTCACATCTATAAAATGCTGGTAAGTTTTTTTCTACCATAGACTTTGAAGGCTAAAATATGGTTATATGAATTTTATATCTTGTATCTGAAACTTTTATCCCAGTTATGGTATTTATAATTCTGTAACTAAAACATTTTTAAGCTCATCATAAAAACGAAACCTTAAACTAAAGCACTGTTACCTAGTTTGACTTCCAATTATCACCTTTTATTCTAGTGCAATGGACATTGATTGGTATAGCACCTATTTTATTCTAGGCATAGAACTAAGATTAAATTAATTCAAAGTATAGCCATATTGCTAATAAACTTCTTTGAGGATAGTTTTATTCTTCAATTACAGTTTATATCCAATATTATTTTGTATTATTTTCAGGTGGAGAATAGTCTTAACTCTTAAAATACTTCAATATTTATCGATTAAGTCTGACAAAACAAAACTGGGTGTTAATTTTTATGTGAAATCCCTGAACCAAATCCAAATCCTCATTGATAAAAAAAAAAAATCTGAGAACATCAATATCTTATTAATTACAATCATTAAACATACAATTATAGAGTGACAGCCACAATCTAAAAAAAAAAAGGTGGGGAAAAGGGAGTAAGTACATACCTGTTCCTCATTAATGTTTGTAATTTATCCCTGAAAGCACTGTCACTAAGTAAAAGGCTTTAAATGGAAACCTTTTCCATTAATTTTAATAGGGTACATTATAATATGTTATATCCCAAGATCTCCAAAACAGGATCAATTGACTAAGAACAAGTTTACAGGCAATAAACAATATTGTCCATAAAATATATTGTAAAGGTTTATTGTACTTGCCAAGGAGGAAAACTTGATAGAGGGGGGTGGTTTGATGGAGGAGAGGAATAAAGGAACCATTCTTTGGAAGGTAAATTCTGCTTTCTACACCATTTTCCCCCACCAATTTTCCAGCCTTTTGGGGTAGTAATGGCTATCTTGCATTCAAACTGCACTTAAAATTAAGTTATAACACCTTTAGGGAACTTCAAAACACATTGAAATGGCATCTGTACATAACACTGAAATCCCAGAAGATGCAACCTCTTCATTCCTCTCAGTTGACAAAATTATGACACTGCATAGAAAGTGTCAAGTAAACGACTATGTTTTTTTCTAAGAATGTAATATTTTTTATTGCATACTTGTTTAGTGTATTTTGGAGTAAGAAAAGTCTTTAGATTCAAGAAGAAAAAATGATTGTCTGAAAAGTGATATAACTTTTTTAAAATTGTTATGGCAAAGCCCTAGCCGGTTTGGTTCAGTGCATAGAGTCTTGACCTGCGAACTGAAGGGTCCTGGGTTCGATTCCGGTCAGGCACACGTATCTCGGTTGCAGGCTTGGCCCCTGGTTGGGGCGCATGCAAGAAGCAACCAATTGATGTGTCTTTCTCATCATTGATGTTTCTGTCTCTCTCCCTCTCCCTTCCTCTCTGAAATCAATAAAAATATGTTTTTTTAATGTTATGGCAAAAATTATTAACTGAACAGTTTTTATGGAGCAAGTCTGTATTTAAAATATATATATGGCATTATTGACCTCAGCACTAATACATTTTATATTGATGACAACATTCCAAAGCACTACACAGAATAAGAGAAAAAATGAATTATATCAAAG